GAGATACATTATGTAGAAAATTGCATGATATGGTACGTAAAATAAGGCTTTCTTAGGAGAAATTATGAAGGTCCTGTGATGCAAAAATGACTGCTATCATAATTACTTACATTCCCATAAATTGTGTGGGCATCGCCAAGCAATAGATTGCATTATCTTTATAAAATTTATTATCATTATAATAACAAAAAACCATGAATCTATATCAGCCATTTCCCACAGCCATTCTGTTGAACACCTATTTACTATCTCTTTTCCAGAACTTTTCCAAAAAAACTGTATACGATGAATTTATGCATTTTAAACTCTGATTTTGACTCTAAATAATAGGGGATGAGGCAAGGCCATTCGCCTTATTGCTACAAAGTCACTTTGTTTATTGTTTATTCGTCAAATGAATCTAAATACGACTGTAATGTCATTTTAGTTTTCCAATATTACATGCTACTTTAAGATCTAGGCAAATTGGAAGAATTAACAACACTCAAAGACTTCATTCAAAAAATGTCATTATTCCTTTGCATATGTATGTTATCATAATGTTATTATTACAGTTACAACGAAGTCATTCGAAAAACTAGAATAAGCAATGAGGCATATAATTATATATATGTGACAACGAATTACTCCATTCCGGGTTTGGTAATGGCCAAAGCATTGGGTATTTCCCTAAAACACGACAAGGATATGAAAAGAACACGAATTCCACTGGACTTCCAACCTTTGTTACTGTTCCCACAGAGATGGCTTCATACCCAAAGGGATTTATGAGCCATTTTTAGCACAAAATCCAAGAAGGTATATTAACGATAGAATATGTAAAATCAATAGTTTACTTTTTTAATATTGAACTATAAATTACGATCTTGAATCTGGAATACCGGAGGACATGGCATATGTGTACGACAAATCTTCCAATTTCTGTTCTTGACAAAATTTCCTTTCAAGAATTTACATTAAACATTCCCATGTAAAACTACCATTGTGGCCAAAACCTACTTGGGAAACCCTGATTTGAACAACCTTGAATTTAAATTCTCTGATGGTGCTTTCATATCAATTTTAGCAACCTTGTCACTAATGTTCCTACAACGATTTTTTTTTAAATTCCAATGTAAAACTTTGATCTCCCTTACTGGTTTCATCCTATCCCTGGGGCCATGATTTCAATAAAAACAAGCTACACTATGTCAGAAGCTTATACATACGTTTCATCCTTCATGGCCAAATGGTTTTTGGTTAAGAAAAATCAAGGCACCCACTTTTTACTTGCCGTGTAATGAGTATTTTCTGAAGATTATTATATGAAGATTACATAGTTTTTTGGGTTTTTTTAATTTCCATAACACATTGATGCTGTGTGCTAATTATGGCTAAATTTGGTTCAGTGTTTGTAAAGAACAAGTCGAAAATGTGAAGAGTTAACACAAAAACCAGCGTACAGTCAGAATTGTTAAACAAACGGATTATAGACAAACTTCGAACAGAAAAGCTTTATATTGGTTCGTGTATTTGTTTTACCAATATGCAAAGTTAGAGGCTCATACTATGAACAAATCATCCCAATGAGAATCATGCCCAACAGCGCAATAAATTTATTGATGGAGAAAAAGGAAAGGAATTGAATTTGAAAAGCTAGTTTTTTTTAATTTGCCCAAACAGCAAGAGTATATTTCACCGGAACCTTTAATGAGAATTTACACTATGCGGTTAATAGTCAATACATGAAAATATTTCTCCTTCAATATACCTCATCCCACCTCTGGTGCTCTAGGTGTTTGTTCTATTCTTTTTTTTCAATTTGAAAAGAAATTTGAGATTGATCGCTGTTTTTCATCTTTTCACTCCCTCGTTATGAGAAGACTTGAGCAGGCCGAAAACATAGATTTCTCATATGCATTTACATATCTTCTCCATTCAAAATGTAATCATATTCCTCTATATCTATCTATAGGGTACTAGCCTACCTATTTTTGTACTCATATCAAGCAGAATTTGTTCAAAATCTTATACGTGAAAAGAAGAAAACATTTGCTGTGGCCTTCAACTCGACATTTAGATATATTGACGACGTATTGTCAATTAAAAATGGTTATTTCCATTCTTGTGTCGACAAGATATATCCCGGTGAGCTTGAAATAAAAGATACCACAGACTATGACATAGCTGTTTCATATTTGATTATTTTACTAGAAAAAGGCATCAATGGTAATCTAACAACAAAACTCTATAATAAACGTGATGATTTTAACTTTTCAATCGTCAACTTGCCTTACTAAGGCAGCAAAATACCATTATCACCTGCATATGGTGTTAATATCTCTCAGTTAATTCGATACGCAAGAGCATGCGCTATGTATAATTAATTTCTAAACGAGGAAAGTTATTCTAAGAACAATTGTTATTGACAAACAAGTTGAAGAAACGAGAAAATTAGCAGTCTTGTGTAAAGTCATCATTTCGTAAGTTCTATGGTCGAAACAATGACCTTGTCAGCAAATACAGTCTATCATTAAGTCAAATGCTGACTAACGTTTTTCATACTAATTGCTAGGCCATTAGTTACATACAGGAGATGCGCACTCCTCCATGGCACCTGATCCCACCTCTGATGTTTTTGGGGTCCGTGATTTCTTCGCTCTTGATTTGTATTGTTTAATGGACTTTTGAGTTTGATTACTGTTCGTTATCTCCATATACTTTATCTAGGAAAGGTCTATTTGTCTTACTTCTTAGTAACAGGAATTGAATGCAATAAACCTCAACCTTGACAATTTTATAAATTTTATTTTCTGTATCTTGAAATGAACATCGTCTATACCTATTTATGACAAATATCGTTAACTCTTTTTGCACGCACCACTATCATCCAAATAGTCAACTTATAAAAATATCAAAAACCAAAAGAGGACTATTCCTACTCATGTTTAGGGGAACAATGACTATCGATGGCAACACAATTCCAACAAAGACATACTTTAAAGTTATAACACGTAATACAATTTTAACCCTACCAAATTACCTATACAAGACTCACATGCCAAACTCAGACAATCCTGTTTTCCAGTCGGCACTTCATTTCGTAAATGATATGCAATCTTTAAAGATTTTCCTTGTGTACGATTACCCCTGGTGGCTCCGTGAGCGCTTCAACTTCACGTCTACCCAATCCGATCTTCCGTACAGACGATAATTCCACTGGAAACTATCTCCAAACGGCAAAGCTGATTTTCTCCTGTCGTATGCTGACGTTGAGGATGCCGCGTTTGGAGTCTTCTTCAACAGAGAGAAAATGTTATATGCAAAAGAAATGACGATACTCGGGTAACAGATGAAATAATCAGATCTTGAAAGTTAGACTACAGACATATTCCTGCTCCCGTGGACGGCATGATGCATGTTTGGGACAAGTATTCTTTCAATGGAGGATGGGTAACTTCACTAACTTGGAAACCCGGATCAAAACGGTATGACATCAAAAACTACCGGACAACACCATTTTCTTAAGACATGATACTTATCGTCCATGTTTACAGGGGCGCCGAACATAATGGTTGGATGTTTTGACTCACTTTCGTGTACTATCTTATCTTTCTTTCAACATATAAAGGGACATGAACAAAAGCATGGTATTTACTGCCATATTGTATATAGTATTTTTGAGATGAATCATATTACTTCACTCAACTTAACTCTTTCAAATACATGTATCTTCACCTAATGCGGTCCCTACAGGTCATACAGAATCACGGTGGTGGATGGACTTAAGTAAACATTACAGAAAACTCTTCTCTTTTTAAATAAAGACCAAAGTTTACAACCGGTCGGTTTTTCTCCGGTAAGATCTTTGTAGTTGGAGCTGAATTGAAGTAGTCGTGAAGCCCCAAAAAGACCAAATTGGTTTGTGTATACCTACTTATATACACAGAATGTTACTTGTATTACCTGTAGGGTTTTCTTGAACAAAGTAAAACGTCATTGTTTTTATTGCGTAGGTCAATCGAAATGTTGATTGTCAAAGTTATGAAATAAAGCATGTTATGCTTTTCATTATTAGAGTATATTAAGCAATTTCAACATTATTGTGTAGGCTTATTATTTGCAAATTCTATGATAAAGCTTGTGTCGTACCCTACCTAAGAATGCTTCCATATCCATGTTTTTGAAGAAGGATTTGCAACTTTGGGGAAGATTTTTCGTATATATTTCTTATATTTTTTCTTATATATTTCTATGTAAAACTTTTATCCGCTATTGTGACCCCATCCCACCATCCTATCCCTGGGGGATCATGATTTGAATAAACTTGAATTAATAAATGTACTCAGAATGCTTCCATATCAATATGACTAAACATATTTTTGTTGTTCTTGAGAAGATTATTTTTATTTGTGAAAAGTTTACAGACGGACGGACAGACTACAAACAATGTGTGATCAGAAAAGCTCACATTAGTTTTCAGCTTAGGTGAGCTAAGAAGCAATATGCCTTTATAATGAATATATATTTTTTTTTCAATAATGGTATTGAGTCAGGAAAGAATCAAATAATGTCATGAAGCTTTATTCAAAATATCTCAAGAAGTTAGACAAAGCTTCAAATTGTTAATATGGTACATATACTAGGGTTGTCCGTTAAAATTGTGGAAAGCCTGTCTAAAATAAGAAATAGTGAACAATGCATTAGAAAAATGTTACCATATTTTAGTGCATTTCTCATAAATAAACAAAACAAAGTCCACATGACTGTATGCTTAAAAAGGCAAATTATTGGATTTCTTATTATGTGTGGTAACACTTGCTGTGCACGGATGATAACGTAATCGTATCTAAATAAACGATTAAAGCTTTAAAAGGCCCAAGTTAAAATATTAATGATGCACACAATCGTGTTCCCTTTTGTTCCTCCATTGGACCTTCTGAAGATTTGCATTAGCTAGATAAGCACAGTACTCTCATCTTACACACACAGTCGAAAAATGATTGACACAGTTTCAGAAATTTGATTGATATCCAGACATCGTAAGCCAATCTTTAATAGTGGTATATACCGTATCGGATACATGGAATTGTAGTGAATCTAAGATGAATCCTTCATAAAAACGTAAACATGTATCAATTCACATATCAAATAAATAAAAGATAAAGGGTCATTCAATTATATCCGTTTTAAAATATAGAACCATATTTTTGAAAGATCAATACATAAATATATACTTGATAATGAAAGAACTTTTTTTTCAGTATTTATATCTTATACATAAACATTTTGTTTAGATAAAAAGTCATTTTGAACTCTGTTTTCTTTGCAAAAAACTTTCCATTTTGGAACTTCTTTGCGGACTCAGTGGTGTCGTTTCCTGAAAGAAAATCAGTCTGATGAAGATCTTTCTGTAGAATTGATAAATTTAATTTGATTTTGGCATATAATTATGTATAGTAGACTTATGTATTTTAGCCGTCATATGTTAGTACATTTTTTGATAAGCATTTTAAAGCTATTTTAGGACACGCTCAACATTTGTAACAAAACAAATGTATGAAAAAATTGTCTTAATTTTTGCTAATGTATGATGAAATTAACTAGTTAATGCGGGAAAAAATTGCAAAATTTAAAATGGGATTATTATTGAAGATTTGACGTATATAATCTTTTTATTACGCCATTGAAATAGATTGCAAGATGATACTGCTAGAGAACAAAAAATATTACATGAGCTAGTAATCAAATAACTGTCATTAGTTATATACTAACCTTCGAATTCAGAAGATTCTGAAAAAAAAGTTAAAGAGCCTCAGATTTAATAGTGTCGCCAATCCAGGTATTTAGTAAAAAAAAAAAATAGTAGTTCAAGTTTTTTTTTTAAAACTTATTATGAAATTTTGGACTTCATTATAGATCATCAACTTTTTCAATCAATTTCATCAATTATTATTTAATCTTTGAGAAAAGGCTTCATTTCTATATCTTTCATTTATAATTGAAAATCCTGTGGTTCTTTATTAAGAAATATTATCATACTTTCATATCCTTTTTCAGTTCCTCAATCATATTCTTCATTTCCCTTTTTACTTCTTTCATTTCGTCCTTCAAAGTTTCTAGTTGCTAAAAAGGATTCTTTTTTTAATTTAAATAAAATTTGATTCAGGAAAAAGCAGTATTTATCAATTAAGGATTTTTCTTTAAGAAACTGCAAATAAATATGGACACAATTATGCAAATTTGTTTCATGGATGTAGCATTTAATAGGCCTATCCAACATACGCAGGTGAGTTAAGGCTAGGTATAGGCATTTCTATGCAAATAATCTAATTAAAATATCTAAGGATTATATCTATTATACACAGAAAGTTAAAACTTATTGTCTAATACATTCTTGGTACCCACGACATAATATAGCCAGTACACATTATGACGTCATATTATGACGTCATTGTTCTTTACTACACAAGATCATAATGGATATCAACAAAAATGTTTCGGCGTAAGGGCATGCACTATTTTATTTAACTGAAATAAGATATATTTAGAAGCAAAATATTCCAAAGTTTGCCGATATTGCTGCACAAATATCAACAGCTCAGCTGTATAATTTCTATTTGTAAAGTTTTAAGTTGAATAAGGAGAAAATGTACAGTCCGGTATAAGTTTCCTCAAATTTCGATCAATTGAGAAAATACCTAGGATTTGTGCAGCAGTTTTATTAATCTATAGAATATTCTTCTTAGCATTATTATACAATCCCTTGTGCCGAAGCTTTTTTGTAGATTTGTTTTATTACCTCCAATAGGTAAGATCAGTGACATCATAATATGACGTCATAATGTGTACTGGCTATAACATATCGTGGGTACTAAGTATGCATAAGAAAACAAATCAACACTTTCTCTGAATAATAAATATAGTTCATAAGCTTTTTAATAGCTCATTTGCATAGAAACGCCTATTCCAAGCCTTAACTCACACGCGTAACCAAGGGCGGTTTTATGCATAAATATTGCGAAGCTGTGGAAAATACTTATTTTTTTAAATTTATTCAATATAATTTTTAGAAAGTTTTTTTTTACCTCGGGAAAGTGATCAGTGTCAATCTCTAATTTCCTAAAAAAAAAAAAATGAATCTTTTAATTAGTAAAAATAAAAAAAAGCGTAAGCTCAACCCGCGAAATATTGCTGAAAAAAAACTGTTATGCGTACTAAAGTAAACAATCAATCAAGTAATCAATCAATCAATCAATCAATCAATCAAAACCTTAAGGAAGGATTCTTGTGTGGTTTCTGACTAGATGGAATATTCAAAGTATATTTGCTAATATGTCTTATATATCGAGAAGTAGGAATTTAAAAGATGATATTTTTCATTCCTCATTATAATTATATAACTTTAAATAGAAATGGTAAACCGAGTTTGAGATCTAGAAGGGACTATATTTTCGGCGGAACGGTAGCGTACGAAAATAACTCCTTTGCTGCTTCTCAAAATCTTTATAGAACAATGAATTTCGTTAAAATTTTTAAACAATGAAAGACTTTAAGGAAATTTCAAATGTGAGTAAAATAATACTGGATTGAAATTTTAAAATATTAGAAATAAAAATGATTTTCAAGTCAAACCATAATTTTGTTAGCTTTTAAAAGCTTCCAATCTAAATATAGATTTGAAAAAAAAATCTGTAAAAAGTTTTATTTTCTCTCTTAGTAAACGGTCAAAACGTTTTCTTTTCGTATCAGTTTGTATCTTTATATGACTACTTCACCATATGTGAAAAAAAGGAAAAAAAAATAAATATAGGAATTATATAAAAATAACTAATATATCCTAAAAATCTAGGAAAAACAGATGACATTCGGATTAGCCAATATCTATTTTATTTAAACTATTTTTGTCAATTTGGTAGTCTCATCTAATAGACCCTATATGGTAATATCTTTTTATGCAAAAAGAAAAACATTCAATTTTTGAAACAGATTCGGCATAATAGGCAACTTTGACCTAACCTTGCTTTTAAAATAAATCGGTCAACTTTAATCTAATTGATACTATCACTTCATGATAATGTCTTCTTGAAACTATGAAAAATTCAACACTTTTTAAATACAAGAATTATGAGAAGAATCTCTACTAAATATACTGAAATAACTTCTCATTAAAATTTTTCAATATAAAGGTTCCTTATACGATAGTCATAGAAAAATTCTAAATGCTATATGTACTTGTAGCGTAAATAATGTTTATTTTAATTTTAAAATAAAAATCATTCTTCGGAATTACTTTCGATGATAAACACGTGATATTATCATCTTATATCTGAATTACTTTTGATGATAAACACGTGACATTTCCATCTTACATCTGAATTACTTTTGATGATAAACACGTGTCATTACCCTTGCATTTCAAGGATCCCGTTCTTCTCCGCCTCTTCTGTGTCTTTTTGAATGACGTCATATCTCTCATCGTACAGAAGCACTACATCCATATATGCAAACAATAAAATAATAGTATTATACATTGCCTAACATAGACAGCATTATCTAAACAATATACATTGTATCGACACATCATATATTCAAGAAGGTATTTCGAATATACACCTTTAGCACCTAACACTTTATTGCACATCGGATAATGATCTTGAAACAGAACCTTCTACTTATCCAAATGGCTTATGTTTGGAAACATACCTCTCTTATATGCTGGTTGCCCTTTTTTGTTCGTCACACATTTCAAAAATGGGGATATGACAAGGTGGATAACAAACGCAGCCGCTGAAAGAAGCTTGAAATGGATTGGGAAGATATTTCTGATGGTGTATTCCTCAAGAAAGTTAAACTGTAACTGTGACCAATGCATGCGAGAATTTTCATGCACCATTGCGGCTGTGTAACTGTAAAAAAGTAATGTTTATTTACTTACTAGGCAAAAAGTTAAAATTAATTTATCATTGATAAAGCATGCTGAAATAATTGATACATGATAAGGTTCACCATATTAAGGGTGAATATTAAAGATTTATATTTTTCAATAGAACTCGTTCTATTTATTAAGCTACGTAAGCACTGCACATGGTCAGCAAACTTAGAGGGACCTCCTTGTTGTGCTATCACTGATGTCGAGACTACTAAAAATAAGGTTCTTAGACTTCCCCGGAATGATTTCTGCAGACATGACAATCGATATGCCAAAAGACCCACAATGTTTTTAAGTATGCATTAATTTAGTCATTTAGGTATTCTTCCACCCATAGCACCAATATGAATATTTTTTGCCAAATTTATCAGAGAGATTCGTCCTAGCACTTTCCATGGCAGGTACTTTCTCAAGAATCGACCCCTTAAGAAATACCGGTATCGCTAAAATATGAAACAGTGATGCAACTCGATACCTGAAATAATCTTTTTGATTAAATGTCATGCAGAATACTATAAATTAAATTGATTTCAGGGAATTGTTTTTAAATTACACACATAAATAGTTTATTTGGTATTATCCTACGGTATTGATAGAAGTCATTTAAATGGATTAAAGGATTATATCCAAGCTTTTAAATCTCAATAAAAAAATGATAAATAAGATGAACGAAGCTAACCAACCTGTATATAGCAATGAGTAAGTTAAGCAACATTACAACAGCTATCAAGCAGTAAATGCCTCTCAGATAAGGCGATATTGTGCTGCCAAGGGAAGTAGGGCACCTGTCTTTTAAACCAGCTTTGTATATAGTAGCATTGTTTGTGCAGTCTTTACCTAAAATACATTTGAAACAATTAAGACATACTTGTTTGCGATTTCCTTGTTTTTACGAACGTAAATAATAGATATTGTGAAACTCTGTTACATGTATCAACTCCCTTATAGAGATATCTCTTTTAAAAATAAACTTTTCTATGAATCTTAAAAAAAAACCCATAAATTTCACTTCGTTCCTTATACGGAAATAAAGAATTTTGGTTAAAAGGTAGTTCATTTGAAATCTGTTTGACGTCATTATAACATAATAAAAAGAAATCTGTAGTCAAAACTGACTCGGAATAAAAATAGGAAAATTAAATATTACAGATCTCTCTCTCTCTTTCTCTCTCTCTCTCTCTCTCTCTCTCTTACCAACATCGACATCAAATTCTCCATATAAAGTCCAGTATCCATTTTTCACAATACTTTCTACTTCCGTCCAGCTAAACTCAGTATTTGGAAAGAGAAGAGCGTAATCCACCACATTGTAGCACATCATGATCACAAGTACGATGGCCATAAATGCTAGTGTGTTCCCAAACTATTTAAAAATACATATTTTATAAACAACAAAATCGTAGGGTGAAATTTGTAATGTTAAGCTGGTATCTATTCATCAGAAAAACAAATATTATTATAACAACAAAAAGTCTAAATTACAGAACCTCCATGCAGATCTATATATAACAGACGTAAGAACAAGTAATTTTTTATGAATTGACGTGACAAACTTGCCATTTTCTGGATGATAACAAGTTGAGTTCCAAGAAACTCTGATGTCCAAAACATGTTGAGAATTCGAATGTTTAACATAACGTAAGCAGATATATACAGTAATTTTGCAGCATCCTCCATCATGGCATTGTCAAACAATTTCAAGATGGCACCCAACGTACAGGCAATGATGATTAACCAATCCAAACGGTTCCAGAAATCTTCTAAATATATTTTTACTGTGTCGGGTACTGTCTTCCTTCTTTTAATGGCAACAATGATCTGAAAGTTAAAGCAATTGTAAAAAAAAAAAGAGTTGAATGTGAAATAAACCATATAATCAAAGGGGTTATTTCAACTGATGTAAAGTTTACATATACACATGTACTGGTTTTTATTATTATTATAAAAATAAAAAATTAAAAAAAAAACAACAGCATTGCGTAATACAATTTATCGAGTTAATTGCACTTAATGAAGTAAATTATTAGTTTAAAGATTTTACCAGTTAAGGATGACGTTTACTAGTGGCCCGCGTGGCATAGTTATAAGAGCGTCTGGTCTATAGTCGCGGAGTTAGGAGCTGATCCTTACGTCGTGGGTTCGAATCCCACTGTGGGACGTGAAAACCGGTCCTTCGGATCAGACCGTATAAACCGAGGTCCCGTGTGGTAGTGGGTGTTGGCACGAAAAAGATCCCTCATTGCTCAATGGCGCTGAGCGCCAAATATATAAGTATAAATTTGCAGCCCTCCACTGGTAAGTGGTGGTACCTCCATATGAGTGAAAAATTCTCAAGAAAAATGTTAGTAAAACAAACAAACAAAAGTTGACTGAAGGTTTTAGTTGATAGAAATGGATTCCTATGATGTACAATATATTTAATCAAAATTTTCTCAATTGGCATAATAACCATGTTAGAACTTAAAATGAATTTTAATCTTTTTTTTTTTTAAATATTCGAAGAAAAATATGCAGGAATGAACATTTATGATGATGCATTAAAACGAAATTCAGACTAAATTAAAAATCTGCATTATTTTCAATTTTTTCTTTCAATATTATTTATGAATTTAAGATTCTATGTGTCCTTAAACATCATTTTGCGAAACAATTACTTGTAAAGCTTCGCAAGTGAGTTAAGACTAAGCTTTGTAACCATTTATGTATTGTATCAATACAATACCTGACCAGGTTGGTATCGTCATGGGAAGTCAAATGTCGAAAAATGCCCTTTCAGAGAACTGAAAATATTTATATTTTTATGACAAATTTTATCAAAGTTTTTAGCTTTGAATCTATTTCAAGTCTTCGTGACGTAGGCTACACTCTTTATACGATATAATACCATTTTTAATTCAATCTAATCCGCAAGCCATGTCGGCCAATCGTACAGTTATCGTTCAGTTATGTTTGATATGCTTGAAACGACGTCAGACACAAAATGTTCATTCAAACAACTTGTTATTATAAGAATATATGTAGTTCAATGATTTATAATTGGCGTATACGATTTTTCAACGGTATGTAAAATTTTGGAGACACTACAAGAAGTGGAAAAACACTGTTCTAATGAAAATATGATATCCATATTCATGACGTCGTAATAAATCTAGCGCCGTCGGACTGAGCTTTGCAGCCTGTGTATACGAGATAATTATTTTAATGGCGCTTGTAAATTATCGTGTATTGTTTTAAATTTAAAAAAAAAAAAATAAAAATTAACTCAATTATGTATGATCTGTGCATAAATATTATTATTGCATTATTATTATTATCTTGGCAGTGTTAGATAAAAAAAAATAGCGTGTGTCCATGAACATGTGATAATAATTCAAAATCCATATTTGTGACGTTATGATGAAATTAGCGTTACGTCAGACTGGGCCGTGCAGCTTGTATATACAAAGTATTTACACCTATAACATTTATAAAATAGTGTGCATTTTTTTTTTTCATTTTATATATATTTACTAAATCATGATCTATATTAAGATATTATCGGAGATGGACTATTAAAAAAAAAATAAGCAATTGTCCCCGAAATTTTTGGACAACCCTCGTATAACAGGGCATCACAAAGACAACGTCACCACCATTACACCAAAATAAATCGTTCTATTTCTGGTATAACATGACATCAAAAAGAGTACAACAACACCATTACACCAAGATAAATTGTTCTATTTCTTGTATAACAGGACATCACAAAGACAACGGCACCACCATTACACCAAGATAAATTGTTCTATTTCTTGTATAACAGGACATCACAGAGAGAACGGCACCACCGTTACTCCAGTATAAATCGTTCTATTTTTTGTATAACAGGACATCACAGAGAGAACGGCGCCACCATAACTCCATTATGTTCTATTTCTTGTATAACAGGACATCACAGAGAGAACGGCACCACCATTACTCCAGTATAAATCGTTCTATTTTTGTATAACAGGACATCACAGAGAGAACGGCACCACCATTACTCCAGTATGAATTGTTTAATTTTTTGTATAACAGGACATCACAGAGAGAACGGCACCACCATTACTCCAGTATAAATCGTTCTATTTTTGTATAACAGGACATCACAAAGAGAACGGCACCACCATTACACATTGTTATTTTCATACCTGTTCTCCGTTGCCCGCGTGGTGCAGTGGTAAGAGCGTCTGCTTTAGAGTAAGGAGCTGATCCTTACATCGCCGGTTTGAATCCCTCTATGGGACCTGCAACCAGTCCTTCGGATGAAACCTTATAAACCGAGGTCCCGTGACACAGCAGGCGTTGGCACGATAAAGATCCTTCACTGCTAAATGGCCCGGAGTGCCGAGTAAAGGTCAAAATTTAAAGCCCTTAACCAGCATATGGTGCCATCTCTACATGAGTGAACAGTTCTCGAATGGGACGTAAAACAACATACAATCAATCAATAAATTTCATACCTGTTCTAATTCGTCCACAAATTTACAAGCTACCCAGAAAAGAACAGCAAACTCAGAACTTGAAACCGTTTCTTCACTGTAATCAAACAACAGCATGTACGCAAACGCAGCGAGGAAAAAGAAAACTCCAGCCTAGTAGAGAATAAAAGAAAACAATGCAATTTACAAAAACTTGCTAGAAAATCGTGTAAATATACAGTGAAGATAACGAATAGTGATCGATCTCATAAAAAGTGCATTAATCAGCATGAACATCGTTCCTACCATATTTATCCATAACTTCAGTATTGGGGTATGATATTTCTTGTAGAACCTATTTAAGAAAAGGTATTTACTGATATTAATTAACATTCATTTCATAGAAAGATGAAGAATAATTATCAATGAGTTATCAAACGAGAAATGATTTAGATAATCACATACTTTCAAAAAAATAATAAAAAGAAATATTTACCATGTTAAAGGTGGTCTATCGAGATTGACGAGCAGGAGAGGCATCAGGAAAATATGGAGCACGAAAAGAGTGAATGTTGTTATCCTCTGCAAAATTAATTCACCTTATTAATCATGGTCTTAAACATTTAATTGTCGTGAATTATTTAAAAAAATATATATCATTTAAATCTTCTAAGTCTTTTCCAATAGGTTTTTATTAGTTTACTTACAAACATACTAGTTAATCATCATAATATTTGATGCATTACATAAGCTAAACGTTAACAACAAATAATTGAAACAAAAAGTTAATGAAGGAGTTTATTACTTTGATAAAATTTTAATATATATACCGCCGAGGGACCTCTGTTTTTCTTATACCCCATTCCATTCCATAACTCCTTTATAATCGTTTTCAGCTTTGAATTTTCTAAAAACCACTCATTTTCTGTTTTGTATGCAACATCCAGGTAACCGTGGTTAAGAAGTAATCTTCCTGCGTTATTGACGTCATCTTTTTTCTTAAAAAGAAACGCCATCACTTTGTCTGACACACTTGTTGGCTCATCTGGTTTGTCTCTCTCATCTCTTTCATGAATATAGTTCATGATACTAAGCGCATGTCGACCAAACATCCTGAAATAAGATTTCCTTCATAAGTCTACTGCTCTTTTCATATATTCCTTATATGTTTTCATTTAAAATGCTTTTTTAGCAGATATTGAAAATCGTTAAGGACTGGATTATATGTTTATTTTATTTTATAATTACCTTCTTAATCTATGTAATTCTTTCTCTTCTGAAATCCCTACTTTCCACTCTTCGCTGAGGTCCTTCAAAATCTTGCATCCAATCAAAATTGGCTTTATACCCACCTTTTAGAAAGACATTGGTTAAATAAACATACATTTATAGGATATTTTATGTGTACCTTTAAAAAAAATGTGAGATCCCAACTGATATAGAATAAATGTCCCCCATAAATATTAGTTAAATTTGAAATCTTTAAAGATTAATGATTAATTCTACGACAAAAATTTTATTCTCCTATATGAAACCTACACATCCTGTTTCCAGTAGTTGTCTGGCTCCATCTAAATGTTTTGTTTTTAGCAGGGCATAAAACACAAGGTCCAATATACTGCAGCCTTTGCCTACTTCCAACTTCTTTTCCTCTTTGAAAGAAAACAAAACAAATTCGTCGAGGATGAACACTAAAAACTTTGTGTATGCATGTACACTACTGTGAAATCGTTAGATTTTGTGGTGGCTTAATTTTCGTGGAATTAGTGGGTACCTCTCATCTACGAATTGAAGTCCTCCAAGAATAAATAAACTATGGTTACAAGGTCATATTTTCGTTTGTAGTTATGAGAATACAGGAAATTACGTTCCCGCCAACTTGTTAATTTTAAGCAATCCACCAAAATTGGCCTAAACGATTTTCAATTTTTCCACGGTATCTCTGAAAACTTTAAATAGTATTTATCTAATGCATATAATTATATGCAAGTAAATCCCTGATTTTTTTTTTTTTTTTTTTTTTTTTTTTTTTTTTTTTTTTGTCAAAGTCTTATGACAAAGTGAACTCAAAGTTGTATCCCGAAACAAATTTACATAGATCCCTCGAAGAGTTCAGCGATATCGTTATTAATGTATTTTTGATAATCATTTAATAAATAGCTATTACTTTGTAAATATTAACTCTTCTAAATGGTGAATATTTACCAGTATACTTTGGAGGCTGATATGTAGATTCTGTTGTTTCCCTAAGGTCTTCGAACAATCCAAATTTAAAGTCTTCTTCCATATTCTGAACATTAAAAATGGCAATATAGATAGGTTTTTCATCTCCAATCGAAATCTTGTTTCAAGCCAATGACATGACAAGAAAAAAATGCATAAAGAGAATTTGTCACTTTTATTATGATCGCCATTTACCCTTCCTGCTACTTTCTGGGTTATTGGCTATCTTACAACAACATAGGCACCATAAAGCGGAGCGATCCTCTACAAAGGAGCTTATTGAACTTAACATGAATTATTAATTGTGTAACGTTTGTTATGCATCCACTTACTTAACCACGCCCCACTCAAATATACACAAACACAACATACACACTCAAGAGCGTTCAACTTCGATCCCGGTGCAAGTAACATCATTTCCGTTAGGCACATAAGGACAAACTAACCCACTCACCCCAAAACACAAGTGAGTTACTATATCACCTCCAAATCCGTTGCAATGGGATAATTAAATAATGTGAAAATTATACACAATTAATCTTAGACATAAATCCAGGACTCATCACAGTCTGATCATAGGCACTTGGGGTATGGACACCCCCCCCTTTCCATTTTTTTTTCTTTTTAAATCTGGGTTTGAATCACTTTCTGTAAGCTGTTTTTAAATATACCGTCCCAGCTGGTGCTCATCAACAAATTTTACCCTAAATGAGGGTGATTTAATCGAAATATTTACAAATCGGGGGAAAATAAAAATTAAATGGAAATATGAAAAGGAAGAAGAAAGTGTAACAAATTTATTGACGTATGCATATTCCATGTGTTCTTATGCTTTAGATAAATAATCAGGCGAAGTTTAAGCGAGGTGAGGCAGACGACGAGAAAAGAGTTGCAAGCCTTCTCTCTTTTTATGTATCAGTCGAAAACGGTATATTTAAAAACAGCATATAGAGACAAAAGAGTTACATTATTGATAACATATAGTGTATATTAGAATACAAAAATAGGAAAACGGTGACTCGACCCCATATTTAAAAAGAAAAAAAAAATGGAAAAAGGGGGGTGGGGGTTCCAGACCCCAAGTGCCTGTGAGTCTGATATATGATATATTACGATACCTTCTCTTCATTTCCTGTATTGTGTTGATTCGATAATAAACAATCTATCACATGATAATGAAGGAGACATTGAGATTTCGTTGCCCATGAAAAATCAGCGCTCCCCTCGGGAAATGTGATTTTTCATGGGCGATGAAATCTTCCCGTCTCCCCTACTATCGTAAAATACAATGTAAATGTCTATTGTAGTTCTTACTCTCATTTTAGCTCATCAAAAATATTGACACACCGGTCACCGCGTTTATCTTTTGTGCATGACTAATTAAGTGTACAACTAGGGCTCAAAAACTGCTGAAAAAGGCCTTCCGAGCTTTGCAGGCTGTGCGCCTCTATGCCAAATATTATAGAGGTTGTCGCGTTAGGCCAAAACGTCTTTATTTTTTACAGTTTATAAACCTTGTTCTATCAGGAACTGAAGCAAGGATCGTGTTTAGAAATCAAGCGGTATGTACATTGTTTCGCTACGACACTCCCTTCCCTCTCCAAAAAAATGTGAAAGAAGGAATCAAGCAAGTAATCGATAGTATATCCTAAAATAAATAAATAATGAACATTATTCTACTTTTAGATCGAGATACGAGTAAACGGATGAATAGCTTTTCTGCTGTCTTACAGTGGCAACTTAATGTACGTGGATCGTAACGTTATTGATGATAGAAATTTTTCTTAAGGACAAATGATACAAACAAAAAGTGGATGCCTGGTTTGGTATATATTTGGTATATATTTTTCGGCCTATTTTTGTTGCAAATAATAAATTTCTAAAATATTAAGAAATTGTAAACCCTCTATGACGTTAAAAATTGTACCTTTCGGTGACCATACTTATTAAGCTATACAATTTTTTCCTCTTCTAATCCCAATATTGTGAAGCTTCAAACGAAAAAAAAATAAAAACTAAGCGGTAAAACAAAAGCGTGTTTGTATCATCTGGGCTTAATATGAATAAACGGAGAAGATAAATAAATAGACAAAAAATCTAAACGAATATTGACGAGATATAAAATTAAAATATATTTTACTGACAAAAATCTACATATGATTCGGAAAAAAAGTCCTTCACACGTACTAATTATGTACTCGCCTATAATTAAAAAGGTAAAATTTACATACAGCGATAGAATAGAAGAAAAGAATAAAAAGATAGGGAAAGGTAAAGGTCTACAGGGTCTATATCGAAAACCTCAAAAATGTTTTAATTTAGGTACATGTACACTTCCATGGATTGTGGCTACAGCTTTTTGTTGAGAAAAAAAAATAGATAAAATCTAAGGAACAACAAAGATATATATATATATATATATATATATATATATATATATATATATATATATATATATATATATATATATATATATATATATATATATATATATTCCTGATCTTCAATATAAAGCAATTTTTAAGGATGGAAATTTTTAAGCAATTTTTTTTATCAATTGATCTCATCTTGACTTTTACTATTTTGTCTTTGTTTTGAAAGCAGAAGGATTTTTTGACAGATACCTTTTCAAAGATAAATTGTATTGACTGCTGATTGAATATTTTCTCCAGTGTTTCCGTCACGTATGATCCAGGAAAATTCCAACGTCCAGCTTTTAGTAACTGCACAGGAAGGGAGTTTATATATAACGGTATTCTCTTTCCCTGAAAAAGAAAGGAATTTTTTTCCCATCTCTGTTTACCGTTATTTACACACTGAATTGTCTACGTATTTTTCCGGTTTTCCTCATCATGACAAGGAGCACACGGCGAGTGTTAACAGTCGGCAGACCCTGGAATGCTGAATCCTAAATGGCACCTGATCCCACCTCTGAATGTTTGCTCTACTCTTGATTGAATTTATGAAATGGAATACAATTTGTTATCTACATGTTTTATCATTCTCCCTTTTTTGCACCGTTTAATCTCTATAAGATAGATTACAACAAAACATAATGTAATCTTTAATATTTACATTTGAAAATGTTTCCAATACAAACCACTATTTAAACACGGCTTATCAAGCATGTTTATCAGGTTCCTTTTATGACCATAAAGTTATTGTTTATTTAAAAAAAAGATCGACATTATTTCACATTTTTTCACAGTGACGTCATAAGGGTGCGACGTGTTCAACACACAATCGATCAATCGATTTTTACTGTTGAAGTTTGAAAAACTAAATTATTTCATAGGTTTGAAAATTAAAATTTTGGTATAAATCATTTATTAGTGTAGGTATAAGGCATAAGTATGTTTTTTTTAAAACAAATTATCGGTATGTTAATACGGGATTGAACGTGATCAAATCTACCATACAGCCAAATGGGTTTTATGGTATCATGACATATGATATGTGTCATATGTATGTATGATTTATATATATTTTGCCAGTCAAAAGCAGACCCGCATTCACATCCAAATGAAAGTTTTGAAATAATACATTACTTCGTAATCAGTGATATCATCGCAGTACAATTAAGGTGCACAGATATTTCTGCAGCCTTAACTGTGCTGCGTTCCTTGAAATGAATAACTTAAGAATAAATATTACCAAACAATCAGATAGGTCATCCTCTGGAGACAAATTGACTGCTCTGTCTTTCATAATGTGAAAAATAACTGTAAAATAATATAAACATTCACTTAAACACATTTGAGAATAAATGACTGAGTAAAAATTCTACAGCAGTGCAACACTTCAAATAAATAGAAAGGCTGTATAATAAACATGATGTATATCAACAATTTTTCGGGACACTTTATTTTCATGCAGTGGTCATTAAACCTGTATTATTAAGAAAATTCAGCAGTTCTGATTATTGCACTTTATTATCTTTAAGAATATAAACGTAGGTGACAGTTACATTCTCGATTATTTCGAATAACTACGCCAAAATAAAATTTTCGCGATTAAAAAATGATTCACAGAATATTCTAAATATTTGATGTAGATTTTTATATATATGTATATATCTAAAAATCGTCGAAAATATGTGTCCTTAGATTAAATCAAAGCAAGGGTGTGTTCTTGACAAACAGAACAAAAAAGGACACATTTGAATAGTAAGCTTTCAGGGTTTAAAGTATTGAGATTAATTAAAGTTAATTAATTGCATTTATCCATCTATGAAGTCTTATTGCACTGCTCAAACATAAATTATTTTAAGTCAAAGTTTATCACTACTTTTCAAATTACAAATTACGCTCAATTTTTAATGTAGAATTCTTCACAATAGGCTTATAAAAATTGTCTTACTGTGATAATTCAACCTTTCTTGTTATCAATCAATTGAAATATATACCTCCAGTAAGAATTGATGAAATTTGAATATCAAAATCTTTTAAGTCTTCTGTGGTGACGAAAATATTTTCACTCTCATCAGAAGAATTCAAACATTCTGCCTTAGATTCTAGTCTTTTTATCATCCAAGGCTGTTGAAAATCAACCTGATAAATTATCTTGTTTTCTTGTGAGTCTCTTATACCTCCTTTTGAGTTGGTTTTACAATTTAGTCCATACCATGACACACAAACAGAGGTGGGTGTCTGAATAAGAAGTAATTACAAATATTTTTATTTCGCAGAAAAATACACGACATACATGTAGATTTATCTGAAAAAGTTCTGGTTATTTCATTTATATAATGTGTTTCTCTGCTCGAAAAGAAAATAAATGACTTAAAATTAATAAAGAACTAAAGCCAGAATGTACCAAAATCCGCCCTGTCGCCAAACCAGATGAAACTTTCTCAAACAATGCTCTTAGATTAGTAGATTATAAAACATTTTATTTTTTAACAATATCTTTTCTAGTTTTATTTTTACAGCCGTTTGAATTTGGTATTGTTTTCCAAATTAATTCAATATAACGTCATGACGTTGACGTTATTAATATAACGTCCTATAATGTCCATTTTATGTACTTTAACGTCATGGTGTTAATATAATTAATAATAAACGTATAATACGTATACAATGAATGAAAAGAAACAAACTATTTTATAAATTTCAATTTATCATAGCTTTTTCCAAGAAGTTCTGAAACATGGGAAAGTCTAATTTGTTTCTCAAACAGCAACTTTAGATTTAACGTGAAAAAAAATACTATTGTGTGTTCATCTGCTCGTAATCTTCTGGGTGAAAATGAAGATTTAATTTTTCTACATTGAACTAAAATTAAAATTCCAAATTGATAGAAATATTTCACTTGAACCTGATTTTGACTCAGGAACATGCGTGTTATATGAACATAAAATTCAGGCATATGGAATCGGGGTTGGGGTGGGGTGGTGGTTCAATTTTATTTCTGAACTTATTTTTTACTTTTCATCAAGTATAAAAATATTCATTTATAGGTTTCCTCCTCCCCCCCCACCCCCCCGTAAATGACAGTCCCCCGATATATATAAAGTTTTGAGTTTTGAGAATTCTTTTCTTTGCTTGTTTGGTTTTTTTTTTGGGGGGGGGGGGGTGGGGGGGAGTGGGGGGGGGTAATCCAAGATTTTTTTTCAGGTTGTCATTTTTTTCTAATATAACCTCCTCGCCCATTTCGAAATCGATCCCACTTGCCTTACATTTACTTTTCCTACATTGTACCTAATAGAGATATATAATTCCAAATTAATACAACTGGATATGTTTATTTTTACCCCTTTTTTCACAGTGCATTTGCTAGAACTTCAGCAAATATTCAATATATTTATATTGTACTGAGACAATTTTAATGTACTCCTAAGGTGTTTTAATAATCGTATTGACCTCAACAGCAATGATTGTACAGTCATAGAGGGTATTCCGAATCACCGTTTACATTCTGACTGCAAGCGATTTTATTAACAAGTTTATGAATGGTTGTTTGGTATTAAAGGAAATCCAATTGTATGAAAATCAGATCTACTTCATATGGCCAGTCTATCTTCGATACAGCGACCTTGACTGGGGTTATATTTACATCACCTTTTTAGTGTATTGCGGGTCACTTCCGGGTATTTCGAATCACCAGGTAAATAGATTTAAAAGGGTCAGATAACAACATTATAATAAATGAATTAATGGTATTGTTTACCAAAAGTCTCCAAAAATAAATAGATTTATTTTCTTGTTGATTGATCAGGCCCGTAGCAACGGTTTTAAAAGTGGGGGGGGGGGGGACTGACAAGCAAAAAAAATATTCTAAACTGACCAAATGTTGGGGGGGGGGGCAACTTCCCAAAATTATCTGACAAGCAAAAAAAGTAATTTACTGTCCGATTCTTGAAATTTGTCAGTGCTCGACCTTAAAACATCAAAAAGTGGGGGGGGGGGGGGACAACCTGCATCTAAAGGAAAAATTACTGTAGCAAAATAGTATACTCGGAAAAAAGTGGGAGCCCCCCCCCCCAGCCCGCGTTCTACAGGCCTGTTGTTCCTGTTTATTTTAAAGTTATTAAAGCGGCACTATAAAACAGCGTTCTCTTACGCTGATCAGTGATCATGCAGAAAAGCAATTACCAACAAAATAATGGTTCCAGAAATTATTACTTGACTGTAAATTTTTGTCCTGTAAATATATGTCATTATTTTTACCCATGTGAATTTTTCTTTAATGCAAAACAATTAACATTGAAAATGTAATACTTATTAATAATCATAATTCTACGAGTAGGCTTCCCAAAAAAATGACAATAATGATGAAAAACATGTATGAAAAGGAATTCAACCAACTCATCCTTGAATATCACGATTATCAAGTATGACATACCTGTATATCATTGCTTAACATGCATGTACGCATATACTTGTATATATACATATATGTGTACACATGCACGTTCGTATTTATCTATATGATAAAAGGATCGACACTGATCAAGTGTATACCCATTTTTTTCTGAGTATAGTATTTTGCTATAGTAAATTTTCCTTTAGATGCTGGATGACCTCCCCCCTTCCATTGTTTGTTGTTGTAAGGTCTAGTTTTTTTTTTGTTTTTTTTTTTGCTTGTGACTAAAGTGGACCCCCCTCCCCCCACGGAAAAAATTCCTGGATCTGCGCCTGTATCCCACCATAATAGCTTTATTTCTTTTAATAAACCCATTTAGCCTGGCTGAAATGAATTCTACTTTTAACGTCACGGTCATAAACTTCAAACCATACGAGGGAGGGAGGAAAAAGTTAAACAAACAAACAGAAATATCAAATAAATGAATATGAACTCATTTACATGAATCAAAATACTGTGAATATTTATGCATCATGTAACCTCACTGTTTAAACATTTTTGATAAATGTATCAGTTTAAATGATACTTCTTACCTCATTCGGGGTCCGAGAATTGTTTATTGATATGAAATGCAGTTTTTATTTGCTAAAAGGCAAACTGGCATAGAAATTTAACAATTAAGGACATTGGCAAGGTTCCTGGTTATTGTATAGAATTTATCAAGAACTTTTGAGTAGGTTTAAATGTACTAAATAGGCTATATTCTGGATTGTTTTACCTACTAATCCAGCATTCTTTTTTTTTGATTTTGTCAAATTAGTGCTTTTACAATTCTTAATGCATTTCCTATGTAAAATGTTGATAAAAGGGACCTACATAAATTTTCACCATAATATTTCTTCAAAACCCATTTATTTCATACAGTTTTTGTATTGTATACATTATTGTAACTTCATTTCCTATGACTTCTAGATATTTTGGTTGAAAATGTATATATAGAAAAAAGACATGGATATACCGGCACCGATCATCATTTTTGAGTTGCGTCCCTTAACAGCTAAAATTGGTCAAGTGACTGGTTGATTGTTTTTATCATGTAATTGACTGAATTGATTGAAATACATTGTCATAAAAATATTGACATGGATTTATTTTTAACTTTTATTCGTAATTACTAAATGCTGATTCCTTCACACGACCTAAGAACTGTTCTCAGTCGGCATGGTCGACCTACCTTTCAGCATATGTCGCATCTTTGCCCTTCCCAGCATACTGAGCATAACTATGGTAAATGACGACCTGTTTGCTCTTTGTCCCTGAATACAATGTACAACAAAGCCATTACAACTTTTCTTTCTTGCTGTTAGTGTATAGAAGATTCTACCCGCTGAAGGAAGTACACGTGCTTTTGTTTACCTCTATAACACGCTTTACTGGTTTTCACCGCTTGGAGAATTCTACACGGGAGATCACTCTCAATCACTATTTTACAAGTGAAAAAACCCATGTATTAAACCTTTTTTCTCCGGAAAGCCCTGACTTGCCAATGTCCTTAATAACTTGTACTACGGTCATAGAAAAATAATATGAGTGTACGCACCTTTAGATCCACCCCATTACTATTTATATTTAACCGATGAATAAAGATTAAAAAAAGCTGCAGAATTAAAATATAAAGTCCTATTGTGCCTGTTTTTCTTTTAAAATGTTTAAATATAAGATTTTATTAATTGTCCCTAGTTTAAAATGCTTTGTTTTACATTGTTGATTTTATAGATATTTTTAGTCATAAGTATAAACGAGAATTTAACAAAAATTAGTGCAATAGAACGTACATTTTTCAAAGAGAGGTAACTCATGAAAAAAGAAAAAATAGCGACTATTAATTCTACAGATATAATTATTTGTGTTTAATGTGTCAATTTTATGCAAACTAAAACTTTTTGTTTATGTAATATATGCGTATCTTGCTATTTTTACATTCATGCTGTCTTTATGTGAACACCGACTTTATCATGTTTTATTTTGAACATGTTGAAGGACATCATAAAATGATATATTTTTCTTGAATAAAGGGTTCCGACTTACAGTTAGTATTGCTTATCATATTGGGTGGGATAAAATTAACGTACCTACTTAATTTTATATAAAAAATTATACAACTTAATTAAGGCCTATGCTGATCTACACGCTACATACGTAGATCTACTTATTTTAAAACAAGTGCATACAGAATTTATATAGCAGGAAGCAAATTAATCGTAAATCGAGTCGAATTCAAAACTTTTAAAATTCGTTGACATTATAATAATGATTTCTTTTCTAATATCTCATTTTAATATAACTAAATATATTTAAGTTGATTCAAAGATTCTACTACTGAAGAAGTATTCCGGGAAATTAGCTTTACACAAGGCATTTATCAAAGTACTCAATTAAAGTATGGCGCCACCCGTGAACCATCACAAAACAACAGATTATGAATCAACAAGTATCAGTTTAACTGTGTTTAAAATTTCATCATGGTTCAAGGTTGGCGCCTACAAAAATTCATTTAAAAAAGTCCAGAATTTCTGTGAGAATCGGTATTTTTTGCAATACCATATCCGGTTTTGACATTTATTATAACGCACGTGCCATTTCCTTTCCAAAAGTCGAAACGGAATTTATAAGTCCCACATATAATAAAGATTTGACCAAAATTTCGCTGCATGATAATGAAGTTTGATTTTCAGGAATTGACAGGGCCGAATTATGCAAATTTTGGCTTTAGTTCTTTATTTAGTGTACAAAGATTAAATTTTAAAGATATTTTCCAAACATAACATTTATTCATTTATATACTGTGTCTTAAAGTTAATATCCTAATATATCATATGAAATATGTGGAGATGACGCACAGTATTCGAGCTCAACAGTCCTGTAAACATTACAAAATAGGAGCAGAGCAACACAGACCTCTAGACCTCTAATACATCAGCGGTAGGATCAGGTGCCATGGAGGACTGAGCATCCTCTACCGAACGGTCACACTCGTAGTGTGCTCCTTGTCATGATCGGGAAATAACGGAAAAATCCGTCGAGAATTCAGTGTGTAAATAATGGCCTAACAATTAGTATGAAAAAAGTCAGTCAGCAATTGACTTAGCAAAAGATTGCATTTGCTGACAAGGTCATTGTATCGAAAATAGAACTTACAAAACGATGACTTTAAACGAGACTGCTGATATTCTTGTTTCATCAACTTGTTTGCCAATTACTTTCCTCGTTTTAGAAATTGTTCATACGTTCATATGTTCATAGGGTATATTGCTGCACAAGTAAGGGAAGTTAAAATCATCACGTTTATCATAAAATTTTGTTGTTAGATACCATTTACGTCTTTTTCTAATGAAATATATCAATCCCAACGCAATTTCATTTTCCTCCATTCTTATGTAACCTCTATATCATTGCTATCATACATTTGAGATATGTAGCAGGCCTTAAACTTTTGTACAAAAAGTGTGTATATTCATAATTTTTTGTTCTTTCTAAATCACAATTTTCTGTTTTTTGTCATGCTAACAAAGAAATATTGGGATTCTTACTCCTCCATGGCACCTGATTCCTCCACTGATATTTTAGAGGTCAGTGTTTGCTCTGCTCCATAATTTGTATTGTTTAATGAAATTTTGGGCTTGAATACTGTTCTACTCTCCATATATTTCATTCCTTTTCATGATATTTTATATTTTCATTACCCTGAGGTATATAACTGGGATTGTCAGTTGTTCTGCCTCTTTCACCAACTTTTCAGTTGGTGGTTTTGTTGTAATGATAACTGGCATCATTTCTTCTCCCATGATATCTGCAAAAAACACCATACTGCAAGCTTTCTTTAAAATTAGCTGGAAGAATTTCATACTGGGTAATCAAATGATTATTTTAGCATTGGAAAAAGCTAATATTTTCAAATATTTTTATGATGTCTGATCTAAGACTTACGCTCTGCCAATCCAAGGAAGTATTTAACTAATAAATCATCTTCTTTACACTGTTTTTCTATCTGTTTAAAAACTACAATTCCCTCCTCTATTAAACTCTATTGAAAAAGTAAAAAAAAAAAAGAAGAAGAAGAATATTAATGATTCCTAAATTGAAAAAATATATATACAAGGAGAGTCTCATAAAACATCATGCATATACTCAAACATTATAATCTAATTTCAAACCTTGATTACTCCTGCAGTTGTTGATTCGTGAACACCACATGCTTCGTTTTCAACATCCAGTTTTTTACCGATGAGAATCTTGTCGTGGACAAAATGACACGGACAGCTGGTTAATTCTTAAATTTTTTGTCATTAAAAAAAAGGAAACACTTTCATTCAAGAATGAAGAAAGAAGGAATTAAAAACACACATTTTCTTTGTTATTTACATAAAAGATTGTGTCTGTATTTTACACTTTTCTAACTTAGTTGGTGCCTATATTGCTTTACACCTTCAATTCAAAGGTTTTTTTTTTGTTTTTTTTTTTATATCAGCAAAACTGAGATGCTAATGACAATTATTTAACATGACACTTTTAAACTTTTATAAAATAAATCCTGAACCTTCAAATCTGTGTCGCAAATTAATATCCTCCAAAATATAATGCAGGGATGGCCTGAATGTTGTTTCTTTCTTCACAGAGTTTCCATTTTTCCAAATTTGAACCTGAATTTTCTATATTAAAGGATAGGCATTGTAGGTACATATTCGATATTAAATAAAGTAACATTTTTTTTAAATAAGGGAACTTTATGTTTTTAGTATTTTAAAAACCATGAATTGAAATTAGCCTAAAAATCAATGCTAAGA